CAGAAGATCCTTAGGGATTCAAGACCCATCTCTCCATGAGATTTGGATGAACTACCTTTGTATCTTTATTTCACTTGTTGTTTTTGGATCATGATGCATCCCATGTATTGCTTGTGATTTGAGGAGTACTTGATGCAAATCTTGTCCAATAAAGTGTTTCCCCTTGTGATATCTCAGATTTTCCTCTCATGTTCTTCGTGTTCCTCCTCGATTCCACCTTCAATTCATGAATATCGGGCCACCCAGGGTTTTGCCCTATATCAAATATTCAATGTGATCAGATTGGGTGTTCTTCGAGAAAATGTTTTGATGTTTGAGTGCCCTGTTTTAGGTCCGTTGTTGAAGATTTTTGTGTCATTAATTTTGCTTCAACTATATTTCTATTTTTAGAATTGTATTTCAACCATTTTTAGGGCAGCTGTTTTTTTTTCTTTTGAGGGTTATAGGGCTGCTGTTGGAGACGTGGAAACAATGCACCACACATATGGCAAGCCGCCCCCGGAAGCGTGGGGGGTGGGGCATTTCGTCGTCACGGAAAGACCATTTTATCCCTGGTATGGCATCGAATTTACTTCCCCACACCTCGCGCCTACGTCACTCGAGCCATCATCGTCTTCCTCTTCTTTCTTCCCCTCCCCCACTCCTATCCTTCTCCCTTAAGTGCTCCAACTACCCATTAGTACCCACCAACCCGCGAACCTTCTAGAACACGCCGTCGGTTGAGCGAGACGGAACCCTAGGCGAGCGTCGGAGCTTGGAGGGAACGGACGATGCGCGCCCGGTGACCCTCTCGGGCGGCGGCGGAGGGTTTGCGGGGGGATGGCAGTGGCGGCTGAGGGTGGGAGCGTGGAGGAGGGCGTGGGGGAGAGCTCTTCTCCTCCGCGTGAGGCGTCGCCCGCGCTCGCCGTGTCGGGCGGGAGCGGCGGAGGCGGGGGAGCCCCCCGCGACATCTGCACCCAGGTGTTCGAGCGGCTCGTCGCTGACGGCAACGAGGAGACGGCAGGCCCCGACTTCCGCGTCCAGCTCGAGGCCCATTTCGCGCGGCTTCCATTCAGGTGATCGGTTAGCTCTGCCAATGTCTCTGTGCTCGGCACCGCGTTTCAGATTGTTTTGGGCTTCTCCATTAGGTCTCGCGATGGTTAATGGCTAGTATCGTGCTAGCATATAAAAACTGTTGCCGCGGTGACATTCGAGCTACCTTCCAGTGTTCACTGGTGTTTCATTCGCTGGGAGTGGTGTTGTGTTTGACTTGGCTACGGAATTGAACCGTCAGTATTTTTGCTGGGGAATTCGATTTGTTTAGATTTTATCTACAGTTATGTCGAGTAGGGCAATCAGCATTCTTACTGTGCTCACTCGATTTTGAACTGGCTCTTCTGGGCTTATGCTAAGCTTCAATTTAATTCAAGTGAATATTACTGGATTCAGACCATTATCTTCCAGAAAGGAGTTCTTGTTCTGGACGCTTGCCCTTTACTTTTTCTTTTTTCCAAGAAACTGAGCTTGCCCTTTACTTGGTTGCTGGCTTGTTATGCTTCTGGTTATCTGGCATTTTATGTTCGTATAGCATGAATGAATTATTGGTTAGATTCTTGCATTATTCTCATACTCGCCATTTGCAAATCCTGTTCTCTCTGGGAATTGTTCCCTCTTTTATACTACCTCATATCTGGAAATGAAGCTGTTGCAGTCATTATTTTGGATTCAATATTCCCGGGCCAGTTAATTATTCCTTCCTTGTCTTTTGTACACTCATAGGGCTAATATTGGTTCATCTTTGTTTTTCTCATTCTGTAGCTATCAACTTGATATCAATGTCGACAAATCAGCAGATGTCTTGGTCCATCAGAAGGTCTTGGCGGAAGCAAAGGATCCTCTGAGGCGCCCTGCTTTCCGTGTCCGTTTTTTGAGGGTAAAGCTCTTATGTTAGTTGGATTTTCGACAAGCAGCTAATTAGTGCTATGTGACAACTGTACCTTCCTTTATTGGCTAGTGGATGGTTGTTGGATTCTAGCTAGTAGTTACATATGATGCTTCTGCAGAAACACTCCCTCGGTGTTATTATTTGGCTAATTTCAGTTGGAAAGAAATGGTGACACTGGCCTTATGTCTCGGCCTGCCCCTGACAGTAGAAATTCTGTATCAAATGAATATTGGTACGAATATTGGTACACATAAGCGACTTAAGCTGTCATACCATAATAGAATGACAGTTGATTATCTTGTGGTGAAAATTGTCATAGGACAGGTGACTTGTGAAGCTTGATACATGCTATATTGTTTATGTGAAGCATGTTTGTTTGGCTAATACAATGGTTTGATATCTCATGATTTAGATGGAATGATCGTCAACAGAGAAGGTTCCTTAGCTTCTACTATATGTCTACTCATTTCTCTCTCTCTCTCTCTCTCTCTCTCTCTCTCTCTCTCTTATACATGTTTGTCCCGGGCATTAATAATTGTCTACCTTTAGTATCATAAATATAAATTGAAGTTGTAGAATTTACTCTCAACTCTGGTTAAAGGTTGAAGACATGGATTCAGCGTATGGCTCTGATGCCTCTGACGAAGGGGCTGATGATGGTGATGATCTCTCTGTAAGGTACTCATGCACTGTTATCTGATGCTTCTTGTTTTGAGGAGCCCCAAGCTGAATGTAACATGTGTTTCATTGCTATTTCTCATTTGCCATAACTGATAAAAAGATATCTTCTGTTGTCTTCACTAAGGCTGTGGTTCTTTACACTGTTTGTAGATCTTAGGATAGCTTTACATTCATGGACGATTGGTGAAATAGCCTACAGTTGAGTTAGGATGATATACATCAAGAACCAGAAAATCAGCTGGACATGAAGAAAAAATACGGGGAACATACAACACATCTATATAATAAAATGTTACTGTGGTTTCTGTAAGTGGGTGCAAATTGCACTCTTGCATCTGTTAGTTCCAATAAACACATCATTTTACTTTGCATGCAAAAGGAGCTTTATGAATATACATTCTTTACAAAAAAGGGTGTAGAAATAAATAAACTCTGATACGACATTAAATTCGTGTGCTCATGGTCTTCCTACCATGTAATTTGCATAGCCTTCCTTGTATGTTTGCATCCTAAGGCTTGTAATTTGCAACCCTTGATGTATTTCCTCTGTTTCTGACTAGGCATGTCTGATCTTTTTCTCTATAAATCCTTCACACCATACAGCCCTGAGATGAACTTCCTCAAACTACCCCTATTAAACATACGCCTTCCCCCAAGTTTACCAGCTTGTTTTACACGCTTCAGATATTACAGCTTCTACCAAAGAAAATGTTTGCCTACATATGTCTGTGTTGATCAAAACTGAAAAGTGCCAAGTATTTGGAAAAGGGAGGACAAAAGGAGTACTAATGCATCCACACTATAGCTGTCCCACTTTCTGTCGTACAGTTGAACCATACAGAGTAAATGCTTAGGTGTTTCTGTAGACAAGCAATAGCGGTGTCAGAACGGGAATCAGGGGAGGGGGGGGGGGGGCAACCTCTCTAAATAATTCCAAATTTGATGTACTTTGATGCAAATAACACAAAATGGCAATTTGCATCTGCATAAACACTACTTGATGCCCATGTACACAAATGTGCGCCTTCTTCCAGATAAATCTGTTTATATCTAGGATTTTACGAATATACTTCTCTTGGCTCTGTATTTCACAGGCAGGACACACCGTACACACACATTCATGAGATAGTTTTCTCCACAATTGACAAGCCAAAGCTCCTTAGTCAGGTCAGCAATCTTTGACGCCTTTCAACTTGAAGTCATAATACATTTTTAACTTCCCTGCCTGGCAGTATTTTTCATCAATGCTGTATAAAGCATCAATTTTTTCACGCTTGCTGTTTTAAAGTCTAATTTGACATGCCTGCTTACTTAGTATTTGTACTTATACTCTAGGAATCTTAGTAAAGGACAACATTTCTGCATTTAACCATGTATTTGACTATACATGCTAATAATTTCTTTGGGAAGACTTTATCCTTTTAACCCCAGTATCCATTCTAACTACACTGTTCTGCCAGCTGTCTGCCTTGCTATCAGACATTGGACTGAACATCAGGGAAGCACATGTTTTCTCTACGGTAGATGGCTATTCTCTTGATGTTTTTGTTGTTGATGGTTGGCCCATTGAGGTAATCTTAGGTTCTTATCATCATATCATGTCATTTATTGAATGCAAAGTTTTTTAACTGATGTTTTAGAGCGTTTCCACTGGCCTATTTATTTTTACAAATAAATGATGATTATTACATTTTGATATTGCTGCAAGAATCAAATGGATGTGGTGATAGTCCACCTTGAGATGAAGTTAACACTGCTACATGTAAAAACGTAGAGTCTTGACTTGAGCGAGGGTATAGCCAATACAAGTGCACAGTTTAAACTGATATCATACAGCTTATATTTTGAAGAGTTAATTGTACCGACAAGTAATGTAGTATCAGAAGTTATGTAAGCTTTTTTTTGAAGCACTAACCAGAATGAAAGATACAACTTTTCAAGTCATATCCTGAAGAAGTAACCCTGAATATGCCACATCCCATTTGTATTTCCAACAACAATTTTATTGAGGCCTGCCTTGGCATTCTGATAGAAACAACATGACAATGATGCCACGCTGTTGCATTCCTCCCTCACTCATGTTGCAATGACCAATGATAATACATGTCTATTAACACTACAGGGCCTATGCCAATAAATTAGCTAAGGTGTTATGATTCTATTTATATGTGGATTACATTTTTATTCTACTTAAATGATGGCAACTTGCAATGGTATGATCAGGACACTGATGGTTTACATAAGGCGCTTGAAGCATCTGTTTTAAGGAATGAGGTAGATTCTCAATCATTCAAAATAGATAGAAGTTTGCATGCAGATGTTTCTGATTATGTTTCTGCTAGTTATTGATGCATGAAGCAATATAATCAACCCGTTCCTTCTGCGTGACAGGGTTCATGGTCTGGTTCATCTCACTCCTCAGCTGCGGAAAGAACACTGCCATTCCAGGTAAAAGGTGGGGAATGGGAAATTGACAAGCGGCTTCTGAAGATGGGAGAGATGATTGCTTCTGGTTCTTGTGGAGATTTGTGAGTGAATTGTATACTATCGAGTTACTGAGGCTCTGTATTCAGTACTGCTTTCTTCTTAAGATGTCTTATGCTTATGTGAAGGTTTCATGGGACTTACTTTGGCGAGGATGTTGCTGTTAAAGTTCTAAAAGCCGAGCATTTGAATAATAATGTTTGGAACGAGTTTACACAAGAAGTATATATTCTAAGGTATTGACATTTTACATTTTAGGAGCATATGTAAGATTGCCATGCTTATAATTTGGTTGAAGAAATTTAAATATTTCGTTATATGTAGGAATGAGCACATCACTACTCTCAGTTAAGCATACATGAATTGTGTTGTCCCTTGCAAGTACCAAAACTAAATTACTTCACCCTTTCAGGGAAGTTCATCATACCAATGTTGTGCGATTCATTGGTGCATGCACAAAACCACCAAAATTTTGTATAATTACAGGTGAGCTTTATGGCAGCATCCGCTGGATCTGATATTGAGCCTTATTAAGAATTGCTTGTTATAGAGAAAAATAGATCTGGAAATGTTTTACACAATAGCTTATGATCTTATAATGTTGGCCAAATATAACTTACAGATCCAAGAAATTATGCTTCCTACCCTCTGCTTCTAAATATAAGTCTTTTTAGATATTCCAATATGGACTACATACGGAGCAAAATGATTGAATCTATACTCTAAACTACGTCTATATACATCCGTATGTAGTCCATATTGAAATCTCTAAAAAGGGCTTATATTTAGGTACAGAGGGAATGAGGAAGATGATGTGTTTTTTTTGTCTTTGCTTAACTGGTGTGTTTGTTACTCAACAGTTATTTTCATGTCATACAGAATACATGTCTGGAGGAAGTCTGTATGATTATGTGCACAAGCAGTGTAATGTCGTTGATCTCCCAACTCTGCTGAAGTTTGCATGTGATGTATGCCGAGGGATGTGTTACTTGCATCAGAGGGGTATTATCCACAGAGACTTAAAGACAGCAAACCTTCTAATGGACAAAGATCATGTACGTAGCATATAACTTTTTAATTTGTCATGAATATAGAGAGAAAACAATAGCAGAACACAAAGACAAGCAGTGAATGTGGAGGATACTGTCGGTGCACATTATCTAGGTGCTCCTATCTGTCGTCAGAGCTTTGGGTCATGCATTATGTTGTATTTTTACCAAGACTATTCTAACTGATGATTGTTTGTGCTGTCCTTTTCTAGGTTGTTAAAGTAGCAGACTTTGGTGTAGCTCGGTTCCAGGATCAAGGTGGTATCATGACAGCTGAAACTGGAACATACAGATGGATGGCGCCTGAGGTATGATGGGTGGCCTAAACTCAAACCAACCTAAGTTATAAACTATGTTCAAAATGGGTCTGTGATTTCGTTTTTTCAAGTCCTGACTAGAATTGATAGTATAGACTGCTGATATCAAACACATCATGCCTCTGAAATCACTAATTTGGATTAGTTTAGGCCCCGCTTGGAATGTCTGAAATTTTACAACTGTAAACGATTATCCCCGGATATTACTGTACGCCAGTAAAATACAAACGAATATATTACCCCTGTAATCCGCTGCTGCCGGCTCAGCCAGAGAACGAGGGCAGCCCTGCACGTCCAAGACCGATGCTGCACAATCCGAACTGGCACATTGGCTGGGGAAAAGCCCCGCGTAATGGTCGCGGACTCCAGTTCGGCTGCCTCTGGACGACGAAGTTGCCAAATCTGCTGCCGTCCGCCACACACCAGAGACGAGGCAAATTCGGCGGCCATGACCGACCATGGCGGCCGTCTGAGATGCGTCAAGGGATGGTCGCATGATGCGACTCGCTTCAACCATGACTGACCATGGCGGCCGTTTCACGCAGCTGGAGTAGCTCTCTGCCTGGCCAGGACCTCGGGCCGCCTGCTCGTCGTCGCCTGAACCCGCCGGCCGACAGGAATTCCTCCGTGCGGCGGCGCCCACACAGGCCGGCGGTCCTCGGCCCGCCCCCTGTTGCTCCGGCCTTCCGAGGTAAAGCAGCTGTCAATCGAGAAGAGAGAGATACCGGGCAGAAATGACGGACCGAGGTGTGTTTCAGAAACCGGCGAAACACCATTGTAACTTGGAAATCGGGTGTAGAGTTTACAGCCCAGAAACGACGATCCAAGTACCTAACAGAAGACCACCCCGTTTTCTTATACGGAGGTATGTTTTCCAGGTGTAAATCGCTGGAAAATGATGATCCAAGCGGGGCCTTATTGTGTCAGTGATCTGAGTATTAATTCAATTGTCTACGGCCTATCATATTTGCATTGTTATCTCCACTCACAACTACTAAAGGGTTGAAAACAAGAAACTCTACTCTATACTAACGTGCTTTTCTGCTCCATGTGTAGGTTATAAATCATCAACCCTATGATAACAAAGCAGATGTATTTAGTTTCGCTATTGTGCTTTGGGAACTCCTGACGTCCAAGGTATGTATAATTTACACGACTGGTTAGAGTTCTTACCAAACGCAAACAGTTGATTAATCATTGCAGTTGTTAAGGTTGTTGATATTTTTTTATTTCTTTGGTTTCCAGATCCCATATGATACCATGACACCTCTGCAAGCAGCTGTAGGTGTGAGGCAGGTAGGTAATATTGTAGATTTTGTACGTAATATGCTCATTGTGTGAGATGTGCTCAGTATCCGAACACTTGACTGTCATACTAGGGGCTGCGCCCAGTGCTGCCAGAAAAGACACATCCCAAGCTATTAGACTTGCTGCAGAGATGTTGGGAAACCATCCCAGCAAATCGGCCTGCTTTCCCAGATATATTAACTGAACTGGAGGGTCTTCTGGCAGAAGTTCAGGTACGTGCAGAATCACTCTTCCTGTATTTAGAGAAAGATACCCCTTACCAGATATAAAATCAGGAATTAAAGAACCGTAACAGTAGATTGTTCTCTCCTTCTACAGGGAACTTCAGGTGAAACGAGCAAACAACTGAAGGATATCTCGGCCTCGACAGACTGACCCTCTGCACATACCTGACATACTAGGATCCGGAACACTGATGTTGAGGAATGTAGCGTATCATTTTTGGTTTTGGTTTACCTTTTGTTATGTACAATTTGAACAGTCATCTTGGGGCCTAATGTTTTTTTCAGGCTGTATTTCACTGTTACTACAAAGAAAATCGAATTTTCTGTTAAGTATACTGGTCATAGCTTTGGTATGTAAACATGTGCCCTAGAATTTACTGCTTTGGCCATCTCTTGTTGTGAAGGATGTTTATATCTCGTGTATCATGTACACCAAGTTGTCTTTTCTGGTGAATACAGCCCATCATCGAATTTTCTGTTAAGTATACTGGTCATAGCTTTGGTATGTAAACATGCGCCCTAGAATTTACTGCTTTGGCCATCTCTTGTTGTGAAGGATGTTTATATCTCGTGTATCATCTACACCAAATGCAGGGAATCATGGTTTTATCTAGTCAGTTGTGCAGTGTTATTGAGCTACATGGGATGTAAGCCAAAGAGGATTTAAAACATGGCAATCAGTTATCTGACTAAAAAAAAAGGTATATCTCAAGGGTCCTGAATCTGCAAAAATTATTGAAGATGGATTGAAGTAAAGCAGAAATGCTTTCATCTGCCCAAGTAACAGGGACAGAACGAACATTACACAAGCAAAATAAAAGTTATTGTTCCCACTGCCAAAATAATTGTGTTTGCTTGTTTTGACAAGTTTTAGCAACAGATAGAAGGAAGCTCCTTGTTACAGGTTCAGCACAATCAGAAATCAGGACAGTGGATCGATTTATTGGGGTCTGTGGCAATCAGCGCCACCCCATCCATCATTTGAGCTTCTCAAAGAGCTTTGGTGCTACCTGCAAACACATGTTCAAAGTATTAACACTCCACGAACGGTAGTTTGGAACTAGTCGATGTACAGGTTGTACTTACACATTTGTCAACGCATGACCAGTAGTCGAAGAATTGCCCGGTGCAGTGCTTCTGCCCAGTTTCATCATTCTTGACTCTCTTCACACATCTCTGCAGAGTAAGCATGCAAGCTTGACACGTAAATCACGTGTTCCCTCAGACAGAATGGAACATAAATTGACAAGACTAGGTTGAGCATAAATGGAACATAAATAACAGTCCACCTGATCCATATTTGTTATCATGCAACTCAAGCAGAATCTATGTACAAGTCATCCATGCCATATGGTACAGCATGCTACCACCTCATCCAGTAAACTAACTAGTGTGCTAGAGGGCTAGGCACAAAGCTCAGATGGCCATCCAGTAAATTCCAACAAGATACTAAATGTAACAGTAATAATCACCAGTTTCTAGTAGAACAGGACTAACTGTGAAACTACAAGTGTGCACAATGGAAGTGTTTATAGCAAAACAAAACCTATATCTAGGTGCTTGCATTAGACGAGGTGATTCGCTCTTACATAGGTGCTTGCATTAGACGAGGTGATTCACTCTTACATGGGTGCTTGATGATGCGGCTATATTCTAAGCACTCGTCTAAATGAATTTTGCATCCTGAAGGCCATTAGGGCCATATATTCAAAAGCAATTTGTACTAAATATAGCCATGTGCAACATCTTTCTGAAAGTTAGTCCATGAGTGAATTTTGTTTGGCTCTAACATCCTAAATAGATCAGCTTACTAGAGGTCCTAGCTTGTTTAGCAAGCAATTTACAAGAAATGACTAGCTACCACTTATTTTCCTGATTCACTCTAATAGTTTGTCTTGTGGTTATGAGAAATATGGCACTGACCTCATAGTCATACAATGATTTTACACATTGCGGCTTGCAGCGTTCCTCAAGGTAATTCTTTGGGTCAATAGGTTCATTGTCCGCCCTGCCATGAAACAAAACATGTTTACAAAACTCAAACGCTGGAAGGTAAACTTTGCTGTTATCAAGCATTACAAGAATAATGGAAGCAATGATCTTTCTTGTACAGAGAATTATTTAAGAATGAATTATTGACTAAACACAGATAGAACAGTAACGACCAATCATTGCGAGATTACTGAAATTTGATGATAAGTAGGCAGCAACTTGTTTAAAAGTTCTCCAGAAGATTGTTTTCCCTTTTCCCTTCATACATTGGGAGTTAAATCAAGTATTAATAGCTGCAACCTGTTCCCACCATGGTCAGACAGGTTGACTCCCTTGAGATTCAGAAGAGATGCATTATTTGCATCAAACCGACTTGGGTTTAATAAATGTTCCATTTGGCGTTAAGTTATTTGCATAAAGTTAATGCTTGAAGAAAAGTGTTGATTATAAATAAGTATATGAACAATCTACTGTACAAGCAAATCTTTGCTTGTTGTCATCGCAAGCAAGTACGTAACACAGATTTCAATTTGCAGTCAATATAATAAATGTACAAGGAAAATATATAGGAGGTATGAAACAAACATAATGTAAGTACATGTCAATCACACTCAAGGATAGATAATTTAGCGTTTCATCTCAACATAAACTAAAAACAAATGAAGAATATAGCTAATAAATAAGTAAAACACGATGCAAGTCAAGCACAGTTTGCTACGATCATGACAGCGGCATCACCGATTGGTTGCGCGGATGTGGTCACAACAGGCAGTCAAAACCTTATTATAGCAGTTACAGTAGTGGTTCAATATATGTATGTCCACATTATATACATCGATAAAAAATAATTAGACATTCGAGATGTCAAATGCCAATGAAATGTAACCAGGGGTGGGGCATTTTATTGTGTGGATTAAAGCAAATTATTTGCATCACAATGCTCAAACAAAATATCCTACTTCCACCGTGATTAATGGTCAGGACAAACCTCACTCCGCCTACGGATTTGAAGCCATTGCATCAGAACCCAAGAACAAATACATGTGTTACTTTGGAAGCATACTCCTAGGATCCCAACTAATGAAATGTATAATGAAAACAACTATAGCAGAGAAACATTTAATTTGTGTTATTGCCTAGATAAACGCACCGATTCATCAAGTTTCCAATCGGCTGATGAGATCATCACTATTTCGTCCAAGGTGAAAAAAAATCGGCTGGCTCAAATTGCGGGATTTAAGTCGCACTGTGTTCCAAAAATACAAATGTGCGCTCTTGCCTTCAAATGTAATTGATTCGCCATGCTTCTGATGCCCCGTTAGATTTCAAATTCGTTTCGGACACAAAAATCATGTATAAATACGCGAATTGCGTTACCATACTTCAACGCTGATAGTGAGAAGGAAGATCTAAAACTGCCCCCAACATATGCACAAGATCAAGACACGATCGAAGTTCATAGACTGAACGAGCGGTAAAAAGAACTTTCGAGAAAAAGAGAGCGAGAGAGAGAGAGAGAGAAAACATACATGGCAGCTGCAAGATCTCTAGCGAAATTTCTTACGGCGTCCTGCGTCGAAGAATGTCAAAGACCGGATCCAAGTGATGGGAGACTAGGGTTTCGTTCGGGTGGATGCGGAGAAGAGGAGGAATGGAGGGGAAGAGAGACGCGAAGGGCCAGCTCGACCTATGGTTTTTTCGGAACCTATGGGCTTTGTTCCGCTTCCGGCCCAGACCTGGCCAGATGGGCCAGCGCGGCCCTGCACGGCATGGCTCACCGAGGACTAACAATCATGGACTAACTTTCAGAAAGATGTTTAGCACGGCTGCCTTAACACGGGCCAGGCTGGCGGCACGTTTAGCCCACATGGGTCGCGTTTATTTAGGCAATAATACCAAATTCAATGTTTTTTTGCTTATAGTTTTTTTTCATTATACATGTCATTAGTTGGGATCCTAGGAGAATGCTTCTAATGTTGTGCATGTACTAGACGATACCCCGCACGTTGCCGCGGAATATTTTGTAAGAATCAATTGCTTCCACATATGTGCAAACTAACAATCAGAAGTAACACATTTTCTTACAATTTCAAGAAAATCTGACGGTTTTAGCTTTCGGCAATTAAATGGACCTGTTGTTTGGCCCCATTCAAAAAAAATTATTACCCCTTCCTATCTATTTTTTCCAAGTTGTCTGCACATTTTATTAACTAAATAAGTAAAACAAACCAGTTATATCACAAAAAAATCATAGAAGTCTCTGACCAAGTGCCCATGCAACTGGAAGCATGCAATCCATCGATGCTCCTATCCGTAGGAGAAATAGAGTGAACTGAGTCAATAAACCATGATTATATGTAAAAATAAGTGAGTTCAGCCAGTTAATGTTTAAAGTTAAACGGAGGACAAAAGCATACCTTGCTGAACAATCGAACAGGGAGGGCAGGGCATGGTTGTTGTCTGTATTTACCAGAACAGGGTGCCAGTTGCTGCCCCGTTTGAGGTACCCCTGCGGAATTTGTTCTCTCTAACGGGTGCAGCAACAATAATACGGATGGTCCTAGATCTTGCAGTGAGACGGGTGGGATCTGACCAAATCTAAAAATAAGCTTGTCATCCAACACAGTTACGATGTTTAGTTTTCTAAATTAGCAAATATAGATTCATCAGAATGATATGCTCTCTGAATGATATGAGAGCAATGTACAATGCGAACAACAATAGTCATATGGAGCAACAAAGAATCATCAATTTTGCACCAACGAAGAACTACCCTTGTCAGGCAAGATGTCTAGCACCTATATAGTTGTGGCGGAACATGACAAAATAAAATAAGCTCAGTCATGGAAAAAACCTGAGGAGGCTCTCTGACCGACCCTCTTACCATGGGGAGGACTCGGGCATTTCTACCGCACGCCTCCATCATGCTAGAAGCAAGTGAAGCAACCGTTTGTTTCCCGGCCGTGAGGGATGCTTCCGGGAACAGGCACAGTGGCCCGCGGTCGCGGTGAGCAACCGAGCGTATACATCTTGCCTTCCACGACCTACATCGAGCTTTTAGCCTTGTACAGAGACGTCGGGATCCTCGTGAGGTCATCGTAGTACCTGGACAGGGCCTCCCATGTTAAAGTTCATAGCCTCAAGCACCTCATCGCCGAG